GGCGCCCGGGGCGGGGGGGTCGTCTTCTGCACGTTCTCTCCGAGGCGCGGGCGAGCGGGCAAGCATGTGTCTTGCCGGGCGTCGCTGGCGGCGGGTCCCCCGGCTGCAGCCGGGCGCCCGGCGCCGCCCGCGGCACCCGGCCCGGCCGGGCCCGGCTCGACCTGGCCCGGCCCGGCCGGCGGTGACATTCCCCCCCCGGCCGGCCGTGCCCCCGGGCCGAAAGAGGCACCGGGCGAAAGACCCGCCGCCGGTTGATGACTCCCCGGGCTGGCGCCGCTCGCCGGGCCGAAGTCGGCGGTGCGTCGCCCGGCCCGGGCCGCCCGTCCCCCGGGGGGCGCCGGATGCCTCGCCGACCGGCCCCCCCGGACAGCCACGCCACCCCGGGCGACCCTAGACCCGGGCGGCCGGGCCGGCCGCGAAGGCCCGCCACAGGCCTCGGCCCTGGCTGGCCCTTTACCCGCTCCCCTCGCCGGACATCGGTCTTTTAAGCCTCCCCCAGGGCGGGGACCCCTCGGGCCGGGGTCCGCCCGCCCGTGCCCGGCCCCCGGGGTCTTCGCCACCCGTCCGCCCCGAGCATACCCTACGGCCCAGGCTGGCGGAGGGGCTCTCCGGCCGGCCGGCTCCCGTGCCCCGGGGTGCCTCTGCCCCTTTTCCTGCCGAAGGGAGGTCCGCGCATTCCTGGGCCACGGGCGACTCGCCCCGGCTGCCCGAGGGAGGGGGGGGCGGGGCTCGCGGCCGGGCGCCGGGTGTGCCCCGGCCGCCACCTGTCAAGCACCCCCCCCCCGGCCGCGCCGGCCGCCCCGAGCCGTGGGCCGCCCCGCCCCGCCCGGTGCCCCCCCCCCCCCCCCCCCCCCCCCCCCCCCCCCCCGCCCCCGCTCCCGGCGGGCGCGTAATTTTTTCCCTCCCGGCGCGTCTCGCCTCCCGGAGGCTTTTGCGCCGCCGTCGCCGCCGTCACCGCCGCCGCCGCCCGTCGCGAACCCGGCGCCTCCCCTCGTGTCTCGGCCTGCCCCCGCCTCCCCGGCGCGCCGGCCGGCACCCGGGGAGGCCCCTTGTTGGCCCTCGCGCGGGCATGGGGCCCGGAGATGCCCCGGATCACGGGTTCAGGATTTTCATCGCGGCGCCGATGTGGCCCGCCACAGCCCCAATGGAAGGCCGATGTCCCTGTCGGGGCCGCTATTTCCTCCACGTGCCGGCCTCATCGTCCCGCCAAACGCGGTCCCACGAACCGCGCCGCCCGCGCCGCCCGCGAGCGCCCCCCCCCCCCCCCCCCCCCCCCCCCCCCCCTCCAGTCACCTTCCGGGCCCGGCCCGCCCCCCCCCCCCCCCCCGGGCCACGACAACTGCCCCGCGCCGGTGCCCA